AATATTCAGGTTACAATGACAATATTTGGGTTCAACTTACAAGATTCAGGTCCTAATGACAATTACTCAGGTTCTAATGACAATATTCAGGTTCTAATGACAATTATTCAGGGTCTAATGACAATGTTCAAGTTCTAATGACAATATTCAGGTTCTAATGACAATATTCAGGTTCTAAGGACAATATTCATGTTCTAATGGCAATATGCTGGTTCTAATGACAATATTCAGCTTCTAAGGACAATATTTGGGTTATAATGACAATATTTGGGTTATAATGACAATATTTGGGTTATAATGACAATATTCAGGTTCTAATGACAATACTCAGGTTCTAATGACAATTATTCAGGGTCTAATGACAATGTTCAAGTTCTAATGACAATATTCAAGTTCTAATGACAATATTTGAGTTCAAATTACGATATTCAGGTTCTAATGACAATATTCAGATTCTAATGACAATTATTCATGTTCTAATGACAATACTCAGGTTCTAATGACAATATTCAAGTTCTAATGACAATATTTGGGTTCTAATGACAATAATTGGTTTCTAATGACAATATTCAGGTTCTAATGACAATATTCAGGTTCTAATGACAATATTCAAGTTCTAATGACAATATTTGGGTTCTAATGACAATAATCGGTTTCTAATGACAATATTCAGGTTCTAATGACAATATTCAAGTTCTAATGACAATATTCGGGTTCTAATGACAATATTCAGGTTCTAATGACAATACTCAGGTTCTAATGACAATACTCAGGTTCTAATGACAATATTCAAGTTCTAATGACAATAATCGGTTTCTAATGACAATATTCAGGTTCTAATGACAATATTCAAGTTCTAATGACAATATTTGGGTTCTAATGACAATATTCAGGTTCTAATGACAATACTCAGGTTCTAATGACAATACTCAGGTTCTAATGACAATACTCAGGTTCTAATGACAATATTCAAGTTCTAATGACAATATTTGGGTTCAAATTACGATATTCAGGTTCTAATGGCAATATTTGGGTTCTAATGGAATATTTGGGTTCTAATGGAATATTTGGGTTCTAATGGAATATTTGGGTTCTAATGGCAATATTTGGGTTCTAATGGCAATATTTGGGTTCTAATGGCAATATTTGGGTTCTAATGACAATAATCGGGTTCTAATGACAATATTCAGGTTCTAATGACGATATTCAGGTTCTAATGCCAACATTCAGGTTGTAATGACAGTATTTGGACCTTCCCTCATCCGTCCCACCCACTTCCAAAACTGTCCCTCCCACAGCATCGCCCTCACCACGCCCCTGAATTTGAGCCAGAGGTCCTAAAAAGCCCATCTCTTCATCTTCTCTTCCTTTTCCTCATCTCCTCTGGCACAGCATCCCGCCTTCTGGAAGGGTTTCAAGGCTCCTGGGTGGCTTTGAGTGGTTTTTATCAAGTGTTGGCTCTTTCTCAGCACGTTTTTACTGGTGGAAAACCCTTCACCTCTCGCCCTCCAGGCTGAGGAGGGGACACAACTGTCAGGTCCAGGTAGAAATTCTTAACCAGGAATGACAAACAGCATTTTTAGAAATCTTGTGTAAAGGTGCCAGCGAGATAAAGGTATTAAAAAGCTGCACTAAAACTTCTCTAAGGTCGATTTGACGGCTGCAGGAACCATGGGAGTTCCCCTGGCTCTCACTCCCCTCTCCCTCCTTCCCAAGCAGGTGGACAAGAAGGTGGCAGGGATGTCCTCGGGGATGCTGAAGAGCAACAAGGAGAACAGCAGGAAGAGCCTGATGAACAGCAAGAGCCCCAGCACGCTGCTGGTGTGGAGCAAGAAGAGCAAGCGCAGCAAGAAGAGCACCTACAGCGGCGTCCCCTTCACTGCCGTGGGGGACAACGAAGCCATGTACTGAGGGGCTCACCGGGCTCTTCTGTGTCCCTCCAGCTCCAGGACTGGCTATCTGGGAAGTCTTGGAAACACTGATGGCCTGGCTGGGCTGTGCCGGTGTCGGGGCTGCCAGGACCCCTCGCCCCAGGGGACGGATCCTCTTGGAAAAGGACTCCTCTGTCTCCCAGCTCTGGACTCCTCCATGTCCCAGCTCGTCCCTCCTCAGCGAAACAAGGGGAAAACCCTGATTTAGTCGTGGTTTTTAATCGTTTTTTTGTTGCTCTTCATGGGTTGGGGGGAGCTTTGGTCTGAGCAGGGCCTGGTTTGTGTCGCCCGCTCGGTGTGAGGAGCCGCCAAACCCAGCCCTCAGCCATTAAAGCAAAAGCTGTGACCTCCTTTAGCATCTCTTGGGCTTTCTCTGCGAGGCAGAAGATGACACCACTGCCAGAGAGCTGCTGGCACAGCTGAATCCTTCAGCAGCTCCCCCTGGGACCCCCCTGTTTCAGGAGAGGGGACCCCCTGGGCATCAATGACTCGTGGTGACCCCATCAAGGGGTTGCAGCACCGGCTTGTGCATCCACCCCTTAGAGATCTCCCAGTGAAACGGGGTAAAATTAGGATGGTTTGACCATTTTTAGTGCTTTTTTTTGGGGGGTGGGTTTTTTTTTGTTGTTGTTTTTTAAATAAACCCCCAAGTTGGCTCAGCAAATCCAGCCCCAGCTGCACATTCAGCTTTTTTGGAAGAAAAGGGAAAGACTTACCATTTGTTGTCTGGCTTTTTTTTTTTTTTTTTAATCAGTAGAGGTGGATTGGCCTAAATATTCCCTGAGTAGATTAATAGCTGAGAGCCTTGGGTTGGTGGTTTGTTTTTTTTTTTTTTCCCCCTCCTGGCAGGAGATTTAAAATACCGGGCAGATAACTCCTCCAGATTATTAAACTACTAAATTTCTGCTGCTATTGGATCTTGCACACGTTGCTAATACCCTCACACTGTGCTGTCAGCACTCCAACCCCGGGGCTGATGCATCCATGCATCTTGCTAATTGTACTGGGAATGCCGGGAGGCTCCGAATCCGCGCTCGGATCCGTCGGCAAAATTTCGTCTCCGGCTCCTTCCTGCCTTGGGTGTTATTTTTCCTGAAGGCTTAAAGAGCTCTGTCTGGTCTTCAGGCCTTGGATGATCTTGGTAGGTATAAAATACCCTTCAGAGAGAGGTTGTGGTTGTATTTTTGTACTTTGGAAGTCAGGAGGAATTTTGGGTTTCAGGAAGAGAACGTGGCGGGGAGGGGAGGGGGGGGCGGATTGTTACCACGGCACTTCCTTGGGACTGGGACTTCTTCTGAGTGACTCAATCCCCATGTGCCAAGCTCCTAACCCTTTATTTAAGGAAAACTTAAAGGAACAAGGCCAGGTTGGGCAGGGCTTAAGGAGAACTTAAAGGAGCAAGACCGGGTTGGACGGGGCTTGGAGCAACCTGCTCTGGTGGAAGGTGCCCCTGCCCAATGAGATGGTCTTTAAAGCTCTTCCCAGCCCATCCCATGATTCTGGGAACTAAAGGAGGGTTTGTAGCTCTGTGCTGTTGACCAAGAAGCCTCTCCCCAGGCTGAGGCATCACCCACATGGATCATGGATCCACCGCGGGGCCATCTGGCGCAGTCGCACTTCCCACGTCATCCTCCCGGCTGCCCGGCGTGGGAGCGCTGAGGAAGGGAGGAGGGTCATGGAAAAGGCCACCTTGCCCTTCAAACATCCTGGCAAAGCTCCTCAAAGCTTCCCACGCTCCTCAACATGCTGCAGGCACGGATGTCTCGAAGCTGGAGACGGATTTATTTGGGAGAAGCCGTCGCGATCCCACTCCCGCCACCCAACCAAACTGAGGGGTTGTGTGGTGGGAGTCGGATCATTTCCCAAACTCTGGTGGTTTATGTTGTTTTTTTTTAATTTGTACATGGATTCTCACCTTTTATGGATTAAAAAGCACTGATTCAAAGCCACTTTGCAGTGATCTTTTTGGGAGCTCCGGATGGACTCGGTGCACGAACCGCAGTTGAACCTTCCAAACAGTTGAATTTTGGGTCATTTGGTCATAAATCTGGAGGTGTTGAGGTTGGGAGTGATCATTTGGGTCTAGTAAGGAAACTTTGCTCCAAGCAAACCAATCCCTAATTTCAAACATCCAGATTAACACTTGGTGAGCCTGTTTTTTCCATCCCCATAAAGGGAGGTGGTGGCTTTGTCTCATGAGTTTCGTGGAAGTAGCGTGGGAAGGAAGCCCTGAGGGGGCTTTTCTCCTGGAAAAAAGAATAGGAAACTGGTGAAGAAAGTGATTTTTGCTTCACACAGCATGTTTGGATCTGGGGTGGGGTTTTTTGGGGTATCCATCAAGGGTTTCCAAACCTTTTGTTTTTGGAAGGGCACATCATGGGAATTCAGGAGGAGCTCATTGGGAGCTGGTGAACACCAAAGCCTTGGGGTGGGATCCCTCCTCTTTTCCCTTGGGAGTCTGTGTTTCACTCTCCACTATCCTGGGAGGGTGAGCAAACCCCTGGATTTGGGGCTGGATTATGGGACCCCTCACTCAGGGAACCCCACAGGAGAACGGACATGGGAACTCCTCCTCAGGGGACACAGAGGTGGCTTCAAACCCCCTGAAATGGGAAGGAACCAAGGTCAGGACTCCCAAAATGGGGTCAAAACTTTCAAAACCAGGTTTATACATGAAAGGGTGGTGAGACCCTTTTTTTTCTGTCCTACCAAACCAGGGTTAAAACAGCATTTGAGTTTTTTTGGACTGGGACCAATTCATGCAGCTCTTGGAGGCATCTGATAATCAGAGAGGAGCTGCAAACAGGATTTTGGGGTGGTTTTTTAATCCCTGCTGATTTCTGGGGCATCTGATGACCAGAGAGAAGCTGCNGGATTTATTTGGGAGAAGCCGTCGCGATCCCACTCCCGCCACCCAACCAAACTGAGGGGTTGTGTGGTGGGAGTCGGATCATTTCCCAAACTCTGGTGGTTTATGTTGTGTTTTTTTTAATTTGTACATGGATTCTCACCTTTTATGGATTAAAAAGCACTGATTCAAAGCCACTTTGCAGTGATCTTTTTGGGAGCTCCGGATGGACTCGGTGCACAAACCGCAGTTGAACCTTCCAAACAGTTGAATTTTGGGTCATTTGGTCATAAATCTGGAGGTGTTGAGGTTGGGAGTGATCATTTGGGTCTAGTAAGGAAACTTTGCTCCAAGCAAACCAATCCCTAATTTCAAACATCCAGATTAACACTTGGTGAGCCTGTTTTTTCCATCTCCATAAAGGGAGGTGGTGGCTTTGTCTCATGAGTTTCGTGGAAGTAGCGTGGGAAGGAAGCCCTGAGGGGGCTTTTCTCCTGGAAAAAAGAATAGGAAACTGGTGAAGAAAGTGATTCTTGCTTCACACAGCATGTTTGGATCTGGGGTGGGGTTTTTTGGGGTATCCATCAAGGGTTTCCAAACCTTTTGTTTTTGGAAGGGCACATCATGGGAATTCAGGAGGAGCTCATTGGGAGCTGGTGAACACCAAAGCCTTGGGGTGGGATCCCTCCTCTTTTCCCTTGGGAGTCTGTGTTTCGCTCTCCACTATCCTGGGAGGGTGAGCAAACCCCTGGATTTGGGGCTGGATTATGGGACCCCTCACTCAGGGAACCCCACAGGAGAACGGACACGGGAACTCCTCCTCAGGGGACACAGAGGTGGCTTCAAACCCCCTGAAATGGGAAGGAACCAAGGTCAGGACTCCCAAAATGGGGTCAAAACTTTCAAAACCAGGTTTATACATGAAAGGGTGGTGAGACCCTTTTTCTTCTGTCCTACCAAACCAGGGTTAAAACAGCATTTGAGTTTTTTTGGACTGGGACCAGTTCATGCAGCTCTTGGAGGCATCTGATGACCAGAGAGGAGCTGCCAAGAGGATTTTGGGGTGTTTTTTTTTAATCCCTGCTTATTTCTGGGGCACCTGATGATGAGAGAGGAGCTGCAAACAGGATTTTGGGGTGGTTTTTTTAATCCCTGATGATTTCTGAGGCTCTGGAGACACAAAACCCCATCCTGGAAACCCCATCAAGGCAAACCAGGAGCTTGAGGTGTCTCTGTCCCTGCAGAGAGGAGCTCCAGGTGGGCTCAGGAATTGGGAATCCTGGACTGAGACCAGTTCATGCAGCTCTTGAGGGCATCTGATGATCAGAGAGGAGCTACCAAGAGGATTTGGGGTGTTTTTTTAATCCCTCATGATTTCTGGGACATCTGATGACTAGAGAGGAGATGCAAACAGGATTTTGGGGTGTTTTTTAATCCCTGATGATTTTTAGGGCTCTGGAGACACGAAACCCCATCAAGGCAAACCAAGAACTTGTGGTGTCTCTGTCCCTGCAGAGAGGAGTTCCAGGTGGGCTCAGGAATTGGGGATCCTGGACTGAGACCAGTTCATGCAGCTCTTGGGGGCATCTTGTCACCAGAGAGGAGCTGCCAAGAGGATTTTGGGGTGTTTTTTTAATCCCTG